AGAATGGACTCCAGGCAGTGGGTGTGGTTTGGGCTTTGCTTCTGTGAAGACTGACAGCCTTGGAGACCCTGTGGGCAGTTCCACTCTGTCCTCTGGGGGCGCTGTGGGTCGGAACTGACTCCACAGTGGTAGCCTGCCTGCACCCAGAGTAACTGGAGGGGGGCTGCCTTGCCTCCATCTGATCTCTGTACAGCGCCCACTGGACTTTCTAAAATATCCCTGTCACTCTGCTGCTCACGTCCCCTCCCTGGCTTCCCACTGTCCTGGAGGCAATGTCTCCCGCTCTCACTGGTCCTGCGTCACCCTGGGTGGCCCCCCCACCGGGTTCCAGTCACGCCAGCCTTCCTCTTCCCTTCAGACCACAGGCTCCCTCACCCTGTGCCAGGCCCTCTGCCCCCACTCATCTCTGCAAGCAACTCTGTCTCTTGCCACTGATCTTCTGGGCTGGCTGCTACCCGTCTCCAAATCTCATTCACTTCCTCGGGAAAGTTGTTCTTTAATCCTGCCCTCCACAACCCCCCGTCTATGCTCGGTAGCCCCTCGACTCCTTCAGAGCCCACGGCCGCCCTGGAAGGACTTGTCATGACTTGCTGGCCGCCCTCCTAAGCTCCGGGCAGAAGGCACTTGGTTTGATCTGATTTCAGCCCTGGCACGTAGCACGACGCCTGGAGAAGACAGGTGCTTGGGGATGACAGACGGCGGGCGGCTGGCTCACAGCGGCTCGCGCTCAATGGAATTCCTCACTGCCCGCTGCAGGTGGACAAGCTAATGACAGGTGTCCGATACGGACTTGTTGGATTGAATCAAATCCGGGTAACAAATATCATGACACAGAAAACAAGGCGATTCAATTAAATCCAGCTGACATTTCGGGAGACAGTTTTTATGAGCTACGGCTGGTGGATGAAGTAAAAGTTTTAAATAGGTTCTCATAACACCGGCCTCAGCCATGGCGCCCCCACTCAGCAGGCTGTCTGCAGAGGGCAGAAACCTGTACAAACCTGGCTGTGATTTCTCAGTGGATGCTTTCAAATACGTCACAGCTCCATCAGGGTGAAAAAGATGAACTGAAAGGACTGCTGGGCTGCGCAAAGTCTATAGTTCACCTTCCAACAAGGGAAGTACAGAATCCCACGGGCGGAAGAAAGAGGAAAGATATATTTGGGGCAAACTCCAACCATGGCAGAGGGCCACATTCCCAACACTTGGCCCCCTATTCCTCCCCAGACATCCCCTGCCCAAGAGTTGTCCCACCTTGGTTGGTGGGACCTGAGGCTGAGTAGAGAGAGGCTGGGTCGAGGCCACACACAGGTGGGAAAGAGGGGGTCTAACTAGGAGGGGCGTTGAAATGGGAGACCCTGAGTCCCAGACCATGGTCCAATACCATGTACCATGTCCTTCTGCAACTACTGACTCTTGTTCTTAGACTGTGCATCTCAACCGGTGGGCATTCTTTTCCCAACAATATTCCACATCAAGGGAAAAACTGTCTTATGCCAAAGCCAGCCAAGGCTCTGGTCCCTCAAAGAGAGAGAAGCTTGCTCTTTAGTGGAGGAGACATGGAAAGAGAGTTTGGACTGGATGTCTCCAGAGGAAGATAATCAGATGTTTAGAGAAAGGAGACTGGCCAGCCCGCGAACCACCGACAGCAATGCTTGGGACAAACACCTGCTGGGCTGTTGCAGTCCCTCAGCTCCAGGCGGGGCTGGAAATAATGCAAGCAACAAAGGAATGTTCCCTGTAGTGTGTTGGATCCAAAGAGAGCAAGGACACCATTTTGACTGCCCCCTGGAGCCACTGTCCTGAAGTTTCCATCTCTCTTCAACAGAAAGAATCTCGCTGAGACCTGGCCGCAAGAGGGAACGTATCCTCTACCTGTCACGTCCTAAGGACGCCAAACCAGGAGTTTCCAGTGGAGAGCCTGATTGGTGAGTGACAAGAAGTGGGGCCAGAAGACCCCCGTGGAAGGGACCAGGGGGAAAAGCCACTCCCTTCTCCCAGTCCCAACAGACCCAACCCTTGACTATGCTAAGCTCTCTGTGAGAATTACCATGTTCCAGAAGGAATTGTACAGCATCGAAATGACCTCTGTGCGATGTGACATACAACGCCACGAAGGCTCTCTGGGCTGTCCAGTTCTTCCAGGCCTTGCCCTGGAAATGTTCAGAATTTGCAGTTCGATAGAAAGAATCTTCAGTGATTCCTAGACATGAGAGCTGGAAAGACAAACGGATGACCACACGGTGAGTTCACGTTTCTCTCAAGAAGTACAGGCACGTTTTGCTAGACAGGTGACTGGGCCTTCTTGGGGCAAGGTTCGTTTGAATACCAAATTAAGGCCCATGATGGAAACACATAGGTGCAAGCCCTGATTGCAAAGTTGGAAAGTACCCAGGGAGGGCTGGGGAGGGCGCCATTTAATGCTCTGTCGAGTTCAGGAAATACTGATTAACCACGCGGCAGGCCCAGGAGGCAGGAAACTCATCCTGTCCATGTTCTGAAGATAGAAAATAGCTTTGCTGGGCGTCCAGAGGAAGAGGTTATGGCCATCAAGGAAAGACCCCAAGCTCCGTGGAGCGGCCTCCCCAGAGGGGAACAAGATTCTTGGGAGACTGGGTAGGTCCTGACCTTCCGCTCTATTTTTGTGCCCATTGTCTCTGCTGACTTTTGGAACACTCTGAACTGCGCTCCCAGATGAATAACAGCCTGTGATACAATCATCTTTGGGTGAAGGAGGAAGACCGTGGGTTCTATCAAGAGGAAACTCTGTGCCAGACGTTGGGGTCAGCTGTGGGAGCGGAGCGGGGAGCAGAACACAGGAGGGAATAAGACAAAGGTGATGATGGTTCTGACCCCCATCCAGGGCGGACTCAACTGCTGGAGGTGGGGGCGGGGAGAGACTGGGGCGCGTGGAAAGGAGGGAGGCGGGGAAGGAATGGAAAGAGTGTGCAGACAGCCGACAGGGGACCCACCCTTCCGCCCAGGGCCTGGTGCACCCATTGCCCACCCTCCCTTCCTGACCCAACACCCCTCCTGCGCCCCGCCTTCCCAGCCTGCTTCCCCAGCCAGAAGTCAACTCTACCCCATTCCTCTATAACTTCACAGCTGCTCCTGAGCCTTTTCTAGAAAGAACCCACACACTCTTATTGAGTGAGTCTTCCTTTTCTTCGCCGCCCTCCACACCAATCCCCACACTCAGCCCCAGAGCCCAGCGGAGGGCCAAGCCCAGGCCTGGCAGTGGCCTCTGCTGTGCAGAGAGGATAAACCGTCCTGCCCTCCACCTGCGGGTCCCGTCTTGGTGCTAGTCCAGCGCTGCTCACTAGGCCCAGCTGGGCTGGTGCCTCCCCAAGCTACTCGCATCTGCGGTTCTTCTCAGAGGGCTAAGCGGGGTTTCCAGCTCTACAAAGCATGCACAGAGCAAGTGCGCTGCCGGAGTCCTCTGGGGACGGGTCGTAAATCCTCAGTAAGTGAACACATGAAACCATGGCCAAGAGTGAACAGGAACACTCGACACGGGGTCGGGGTTCTGTGACGTGAGCCCCGGTATCTCTTCCCCTACGCTGAAACTTTTATTTGCTCCAACTTTCACATTACAAACTAAGCGACGTTCCCCTACGATTTACAGCTGCTTCATAAAGTATAATAGCCATTGAAAGAAGCATAGCCACCTTACTAGGGTCCCCTTCCACTGATGCCAAAACCAGCTCCGTCCATCCATCATAATGCCAGATACATAATGAAATAATTCCACCAGGAACAACGTCATGGAACTTCAGCGTAGCATCATCCATCAAAACTCCTGCGGGGAATAATTGTTTCTTTAAAAAATGGGTATGAGAGATAAACTATTACGCTGTTCGGTTAGATTATCTGACCTTGGAAACCGCAGAGATAATTTTAGAACTGTGAGCACCAATCTCATTTGATGAGTCTGCATGACTGTGTTTGTTGTCGTTAATGCTTTTTAGAAAATTAATTTGGCTCAGCTCAAATAGAAGCTGAGGAAAAACACAATGGCAGTGATTTATAAAATTCCATAATTATAACTCATCCTATTGTGAGAAAGTGCATGAGTCGGTAAAGTCATTTTATAAGGCAAAGTCTGCAAACAGAACCACTTAAACTTGAAGTAGCTGTATGCTACAGACAGCACAATGCTGTTACGTGAGTTCCAGACCTAAGTACGAACTCTGGGTAATGCCATCACTAGCCAGCACGAAGGGTAACATTGACAAATGGAAGGTTGATGGGGTTTCTCACTTTTGGCCCTACTGGCAGCTGGAAGCAGGTGATTGTTTGTCGGTGCGGGGGTGCTGTGCACCGCAGGGTGTTGAATGGCATCTCTGGTCTCCACCTACTACATGCCAATCATACCCTTTCCCGGCCCTGACAACCAAGGATGTCTCCAGACACTGACCAGTTCACCCCAGCTGAGAACCTACGGCACAGAGAGCTCAAGTCGCCCTTGACCACCAGTGGCACGTGGGGCTCCTCCAAGTACGGCCTCACCTTACTCAAGGGGATGACGGATCCACTCCCTCCGAAATTCCTAGTCTATGGGGAAGACCGGCAGAATTAGCATGAGGGGATTGCAGGACGTACACACACACACACACACACACACACGTAGATCTCACTCACAAATCACAGCAGAATTTGCTTTTCTCATAAGGCCACAGGGCTGAAGTTTCAGCTCTGCCCAGGCTGCATGATCACATATTCCAAGTGAACTGGAATTTAGAAATTTCTTGATTTCATGATGCAATGTGGTAAGTACTTAGTCATCATGCTAAGTACTTTAGTACTTGTTCTAGGTACTCCCATGCTTCCTACTAAGGACTTCCCCTCTCTGCTTCAACCCTCATGAAAACCCTATGAGACAGGTTCATATCTCAGTTCCCTGATGAGCAGATGGGGACCCCCGTGGCTAGTGAGGTGGGAACATACCCAGACCTGCGTCCCTCCAGCACCCCTCAGTTCTGGGTAGGCACCCCTGGGTTACTAGGTCATGAGGGTGGACATACATAAGGAATATTCCAGAGCCAACCCTTCTGCTGACAAGTGGATTCCAACTCACAGCAACCCTGCAGGACCGAGTAGAGCTGTCCGGAGGGTTTCCCAGGCTGTGATCTTTACGGAAGCAGACTGCCACGTCTTTCTCCACAGAACAGCCAGTGGATTCAAACAGCCAGACTGTCAGTGCGCAGCGGAGCGCTTAACCCCTGCGGCACCGGGCTCCTTAGACAGGGGATGCTGATTAGCACATTGCCCATTAGGGTCCTATCTGCAATGCTAATGTGAAGGATAATCAGTAATCAGCCTGAGTAAGACAACTTCACTCCCTGAGCACTTGGAAAACATCGAGTACAGCTCTGTTTATCCAAGAGCCAACGGAGTTCAACGCACGCAAGCTGAACAGCTTCCTGAAACAGGAGCGCTCTGAACGGGCGGCCAGACACTGCCTTCGGCTTAGACAGATGCTAATTATCACCAGGGAAATAAACGATTAGCGCTAACAGACGTGCACCGTGGACCCTCGTCCATGTAGCTGCTAACCCCCCTTTCTAGTTGTCTGGTCCTCCCGGCTGCCCTGGGGCGGGGAAGCTAGAGGAGGCGCTGGCTGATTACAGAGAGGCAGTAGCCAAGATTTCTTCTACCTCCTCTTTGGTTTGCCTTCAGTTGTAAGGACTGCAGCAGGTCAAGCTTTGTGCAGTTGCTAAGTGCTTGTTGAGGGAAAGGATTGTGACATCATTGTTAAGTTGCCACCTCCTAGTTTTCCTGAATTTAGTACTCTGCATGGCTCATCCGTGTAAATAAATTAACAGAAGGGGTGCTGAACATTTGCGGTTGGGAAGGCATCGTTTTCAAATTCCTTGCTCTGGAACTCTTATCATGTCCTTCAGTAATTCACTCACGGTGAACATGCTAAACACAGACTAGGCTCAGTACACATTTCTTTCCAAATGAAGCCTCCCAACTGCTCACCTGCATCTTTCAAACACTCCTCTAGGACTACAAATCCATCCTTAAAAGACTTGGTCTATTTCAAGGAGAGCAAGGGAAAGCATTGTGGCCTCCAATACACATTTTTGCATTTCCCAAGTCATTCCCATCTCTGGGGGGAACTGGCAGTCAGTGTCCGCTCTGCGGATTAGGAAACTGAGCCCCGGGAGGACAGACTGGGGGAGGGCAGGGTGTGGAGACAGGCGGCTTTCAGATCCCTGTCTGTCTCCATCGCTTCCCGGCCCCTGCAGTACCACTGCAGTCTCTCTGCAATATTGGCTGTTCACACTCTGTGCAGCAGCCCAGAGATTTTTTTTTCCCCTATCTTTGCTTTCTTGAAGTATTTTGCATTGATTTCAACCGGGTGGGGAGATGATGGAGCCCAGGGGCTTTGATCCTGTTCTCATATCCTAAATACTGTAGGGAATTGGGACAGGGGCAGCCATGGTCCTTAGGTCAGGGAAGAACTGATGGAGGGAGAGATGGGCTCCAGGGTCCTTGACCTCCATGGGCATCGACCACGTGGGGTTTGTCTGGACAGGGAGGCTCCGGGGTCCTGACTTGGCCACAGGGAGTGCTGGGTGCTGGGTTCAGATTCTGATGGGGCTAGATCTGAGCTCCAGATAGGGACAAGGACACAGCTGAGGACTTGGGGTTCAGATGCCGACTGCATTACTGCCAGTATCTGAGATTCAGACGTGGGTAGGGTTTACATTGAGATTTGGGGTCCTGACAGGGCAGTTTGCTCCTGATTTGGGTTCTGATGAAGGCAAGGTTTGCTTTGGGTTTGGGGGTACTGGCATGGGAAGGGTTTGTTTTGGGATTTGGAGTCCTTTTGTGGGACGGGCTGGCTTGGGGCTTGGGGCTCCGATATAGACATAATCAGTGTGGCAACTGAGGGGCAAGAATAAGGCGAGTCTGTCCTGGGCTTTGGGGGTCATGATGGTGGCAAGCTTTGCTCTGGCATTTGGGATTCTTATGTAGATGAGGTTGACTAAGTCATCTGGATTTCAGACACGAGCAGTTTGCTTGGAGTTTGGGGGGCCTCGCTTTGAACTTTGGCTTCCTCACATGAACACAATGGCTTCAGGTTTGGGGAGGTGATGTAGACAGGGTGCAGGGCTATGGGATTCAGATATGGGTAGGTTCAGCTTGGGTTTTGGGGTCCTGATGGGGGATTTGCTTCATGTTTTAGAGTCCTTATGAGGGCACTGTGCTTTGGGGTTGGGGTTCTGGAGTTGTCATGGTGAGCTTGGGGGGACCAGCTTTTAGACATGAGCCGTTTGCTTTGAGTTTTGGGGTCCAGCTGTGAGCAGGGTTTCTTTCAGATGCTGGCATCCTTATGTGGACAGAGTTGGCTGATGGGGTTCTGATACCCAAGGAGTGGAGACTGGGGGCTCAGAACTGGGCACATCTGCCCTGGGATATAGGGTCATGGTGTGGGCAGAGTGGGTTCTGGGATATAGGTTTCTGTTGCAACCAGGGGTAGCTTGGGGATCTGAGGTTCCATATGGACAGGGTTTGCTGAGAGATCTGGGTCCTAAGGTGGGCTCTGATGCCCTTATGCGGACACCACTGCTGGAAGATTTGGGGTTCTGATATTCACATGGTTAATCTGAGGATTTGGGGTTCATATTTGACCGGGTCTGTTTTTGGTTTGGGGGTGGGTAGGACTGAAGCGTATGGACAAGTTTGCTGATGGATTTGGGGTTCGGGAGTCATGATCAGCTGGGAGATTTGGGGTTTGGCCTGGGGCAGGAATGTTGTAGGTTTTGGCATCCTAAGGTGGGCAGGGTTTGTCTCAGGCTTTGGCGTCCTTGCGTGGAAATGGTTGGCTGAAGGATTTGGGGTTGTGATGTTCAATGCTTATCTTGTGGATCTGGGGTTTGCTTTGAATTTGGGGTACTGGCGGACAAGTTTGCCCTGGGTTTCAGGGTCCTGCTAAGGAGAGGCTTTATTCCTGTGTTTGAAGGCAGTGGGTTTGGTTTGGTTTTTTTTGCAGCCCAGTGTGGACGTTGTTAGCTTTGAGACTTGGGGTTCTTATGAAGACATGGGTAGGGTGGGGCCTGGGGTTCCACGGGTCCTGCTGTGGCAGGCTGCCTTGAGATTGGGATCCTGGTGCCGGCAGGATTTCTCTTGTGGATCCGGATCCTGCTGTGGACAGGCTTTGCCTTGAGATTTGGGGTCTAATGGGAAGTGGGGGGCCAGGGGGACCTGGGTTTTGAAGGGAGAGGTACACTTGTTTTGAGAACTGTGTCCTGCTTGAAAGGGTGTGAGGGTCCTCATGCACGTTCGGGTTCCCCTGGGACTTCCAGGCCTGACCTGGGCTGTGGGGCCCTGGGGTGGGAGGTGGGCTGTGGCGGGGGCAGGGGCCACCTTGGTCCAGGTACCGGAGCCGCTGCAGGTTGAAGGGGAGGCCGGCCAGGAGGTCCAGTTCCTCCTTGAGCTCCCGCACGGTCATGTCGCTGCGGCAGTTGGGCACGCGGAACAGCTCCCCGGTCTCCTCCAGCCGCACCCGCAGGGC